ACTTGCAAGGTTTTCATACTGAAAGTAATCCAAGACATTTTACATTCCTACAAATTGAAAATTTCATTGTAGTAGTTCACCCACAAAGACAGGCATTACATTTGACAGCAATTATCTGTGAAATGCTTTGGGACATTTTGATATATATTATTTGGAAAATATACTACTTGTAATAATAATGAACCTTAGATTTTTTATATAGCGCCTAATTATGTTGTTGGAATGCCTCAAAGTGGTTCACAGGACTTTACTGTAAACATTGGTCACCGTGTATTTGTAGGCAAATACAGCAGCCAATTGTGGGACCCAGTTGAACAAAGCTGAGACACAAAACATAATGAAGTTCAGCAAGTACCCATTGATGATGCTCCAAATAAGCCTATTTCAACTAACAATATAATAGAAGGGAGTTTCTCCTTGTATATTGGTCAATGATCCCCCCAAAATAAAATTGGTCATTCACTTCGTGGCTACTTATGCGACATTGCTGTGTGCAGATTGGCTGCCTACATCAATTGCCTAAAAAAATACAGTTACTACACTTTACATATATTCTGTGTAATGCTGTGAGACATCCTCCTAATGTGAAAGGCACTCTCTCAAATAAAGAATTAGTATTTATATTCTGAAAGAAACTCTCAGGATATTTGGGCTCTGGCTATTTGCTAAGGCAATTCATTGTTAACAAGGCAGAAAACACCTTCTACTCATCTGTTTAATAATTGATTGTTCATCTAGCACTTGTCAAATCAAATTAATATTTGACTAAAGAACACTGCATGAAATGACAGAAAGTGTGTGAGAAGGGTACAACTTCAGTCCAAGAAGATATTGATGCCTTCTCTGTGTAAGCTCAAAATGCAGTAAAGGTAATCCAGAGAACAACAATATTATTATTATAATTACTGTCAAGTGTAGGCAGTATGTGTTGCTTTAGGCAAACTGAATGACCAATTTTATCTGGAGGATTGTTGGCCAAGACCGCATAAGAAATGCCTTACTCTTTTTTGAATTGTTCTATGAAATCTTCAATGACCACCTGAACAAGCAGACAGGAAGGATCTCAATTTAACGTCTCATCAAAAAGACGGCATTCTGACAATGCAGCAATTACCCCAGCTACTGTAATTATTTGACAATGCCGCACAACCCCAACTTTGCATTCGAGGGTAAATTAAACGGCCCAACGTGAGGTTTGAACTCCCAACAGTTCCCTGGATAAAATTGGTCATTCACTTCATGGCTGTCTGTGGGACATTGCTCTGCACAAATTAGCTGATGATGATCCTTTTATTTCCAACGTGAGGAAATGCCACTCTATTCCGGTTTCCTTTTCTAGTCACTAACATTCTGCAGTGTAAAGAGGGATTCAGATTATAGTTAGTCTTCCTGGTAACAGAAGCAAGGCCCAAACTGCTACAGCCGCAGACATGGGCGTGTAGAAGGTTGACAGAAAATATTTTTGTCTTTTTAAAACTATTAAATTTCTTTGGAAATGTACACTATTGATCACCATGATTATTTTATAATTCTGAAATGTCAGCATGGCATTAATTATATCGGTCTTTCATGTACGATACAGCCCTATAATCAATCTCTGCCCTTGTTATTTCCTGTTCATTTTAGTTACATAGACATTATACTCAAAAATCAGGAGGTCACTTTTACAAATAGCTTGTATAGTGGAAGATTAACAGACAGATCTGAAGGGCTTTATGTCTCATGAATTTTCACCAGCAGATTGAGAATCCTGCCCTGCGGCTGAAACTCAGATTTTGGCATAATAAACAGTGTAGCAACATAATCCTGTTAAATAAAGTGATTTTAATATTTAAAATGTTGCTATGTGAGTGATCTGCAAATTGCCACAGACCTTTTCGTGCATTTAGTGTCATAAATCTGAAAAGTGAGAAAAGAAATGTTACAGAATAAAGCTTCCCAATAAAGTATTTGTCTATTTTTTTCTTAAATAAAAATACAATTAATCTTTTAAGGGAAAATGCAAGTTTACCAGTTAACAGCTAGCAGGAAGCGTTGTAGTGGTAGGACACTGGACTAATTTAAGAAATAGCTTAATGTTGTACTGAGCAGATGGTAGGGTTTGGGTTTGGGAGGCTCGAGATCAGAGAGGCTGAACCAATTTCTTCACCTAAACCTCTCTAGTTATTGTGTGGCTGGCAAGGTATGCCACTGTTAAGCACTCCAAAGTGCTACCCCATGTGAAGTGCGCTATATAAATGCAAGTTGTTGGTGGTGGTGAATTTGGAGAAATAATGAGAGGGTGGGGCCCCAACAACCCAACATTTTAATAACTTGTAATAAGATTCGGTTCACATTTCTAAAACCTGCATGTTTCAGAAAAATTGCAAAACTGTAAATGAACGTCACCGATGTGGAAATTGACATTACTCTAGTTCCATCAACCACTACCAAACAGGAAGAACCCCTGTGCTTCAGCTTCATTTCATATTGTTCGCTTCAAAATCGATTTATGTCTATAGTGATAGAATTTGGAGACATTATTAAAATGTAATCTCTTTGACACATTAGCTTTGGCTTTTCTAAGTGCAGTGTCGGAAATTACTCCCAGTTATTGTACCTAAATAAATTATTCAAATCAAAGCTTTTGAATTCAAAAGTGGATATCTATCACCTATGATTTCACACTTGTGTCAAATAGTTTTCATATTCTATAGAAGCTACGTTGCAGCAAAGAAAAAGAGGTGTGTGAATGAGTGAGTGGGGGGCAAAATATTCTATGGTCACCAACTGGATTCACTATGTTAATCACAACTTCTGGTTTGTACCTGGAAATCGCTGGATCCGATCTGGGAAAAAACGTGCCTTGAGCAAATCATTGAGTGTGAAGCATTAGGCAGCTTCCCATACGTAGGTTAATCTGCTGTCAATTGTAGGCTATCTTTTAAAGCTCCTCTTCATTCTTAAATGGCCCAGCTCAGAGAATATCCCTGAGACAAAGCGTAAGTCAAAAGTCCTACTTTTGGGGTTGGATTAGTGTCATTTAGTCATTTAATAACAATTCTTGCCTCTGATATAGTGCCTTCTCATGTTTTCAAGACGTCTCAAAGCACATCACAGCCTATACTGTAAAGTGTATTGACTGTGTATTTTGTGGGCGAAACATGGCAGCAAATAATTTTTTTTTGAAGATTTGTGCCCTCAATCATTTTAGGCTGTGAGGGTTCACTGCCATAATGAACCAGTGTTTGTGCATATATGTGTATCTGAAATTGACATTTGCTCTATCTTACCTCCACTAATGAAATCTGGTGAACTATTAGCACTTCATTAACTGAACGCTGTGTTGAATGTCAGACTGGTAAGATGTAGAAACCAGCAAAGCAAATCAGTGGGTGGTGGGGGATGGGGGGCCTGCAGCCCTGATGATGTAATGGACAGACTGCAGCTGATAGTCTATGATCTTTCACATCGAGAGGACGTCTAAATGCACTTCACAGGATTTACTGTAAAGTGCAGTGACTCTTCATTTGTAGACAAGTAAAGCAAATCATTGTACAGGGTGACCAAAAATTTGTGATACCATTACAATCTCTAATAAGTCTTGGAAAGAAATTATTATGTTTTTTTTAGACAATAGAGTAGTTATCACAACTTTTTGGTCAACCTGGTTTGAGAACACAGCAATGTTAGATACATATGTTGCAGCGAGCTTGTGCACGTGGCAGTTCAGAATGCTCGCATTACGGTCAACTTTCATAAAGTGACTTTGACGATGTGCAATTTAATGGAGAAATTCCTTTCAAGGCTGACATTGCCAATGCTTTTTACAGAATCCCGTTTAATGACAATGAACGGCAACAGTTGTTAGGAAATTGCATGGATATTATGACTGCAATAAATTAATCTGAGCAAGACTGACTTACAGTGGTAGCTCGTGCCCAATCCTGGTTATGAGGGCAGCTTTAGATTCAGGTCATGTACCCTCCAGTGGAAGCTATTAGCAACTGCGAGTGATTTCCCTTGTTGACCTTGTCTATTCAGACATTTAGCATAAAATTATATTTCATTTATGGTACATTAGCAAAGAGTAATGGATTCTAAGAAAGGAATAAGTATTAGTATGCTAATCTGTAAACTGTGTTGTGCCTAAATGTACACAATCATTATGTGCAGCAAGTAACTGATGTTGGTTAACTGTTTAACAAATGGACATTACAGCAGACATCTCCCTCTGCCACTGTAAGTCTGTCTGACTGTGGCTTATTTATTGCTCAATCCTGATATTCATGTTCATACCCAGATGACTGGTGTGTGAAGTATCAATCAAACACTACCTTCTCAATAAAAGTGACATAGCACCTCATCAAAAGCAAGTTCAGAAACATTAGAATCTGGTCCATTGGGGATGGACCTGAAGTGAAAGAAAAGTTCAGTGCGTCTGAAATGTACTGAGAATCAATTGTGAGTCACTTGCACTGTACACCCCAGCCTGGAGGAACTGATGCCAAGAGTACTAATCTTACAGAGACTTTTGGGATTAGAAGAGAAGTGGTGTGATGTTATGGTATTTACATTGTCGGGAAAAATTGCTCTTTAATTTCGCTTTTTTAAAAAAATTCTAGGTTGTAAAACTTTGGGGCAAGTAGAGTCCAAAGAGATGCTGTGAGCAGTTTGTGCACTTAGGATGAGAAGCAATATTAATAACATTGAATGCAGCAGTTGTTTGTATATTGCAAGAATACTGTGACTAGTAAATGAACCTGAAGCCAATTGCATTCTGGCCAATGCTGTTGACCTGTGACTTGAGTCCAAAGAAGGCTGAGAACAGCTTCAAAGCTGAAAATAAGAGTGTAGTTGATTGTTGTAGCTCTGGTACCCTTGAGATTTAAGGTTCTCTCCTGTTAAAGAATAAACTGATTATTGGCCTGTTACTCAGTACTCTTGTATATGATTTGCTGTTCTGGGACATCTAGGTATGGATCAGATTAATTTCCGATGGTGTTTTTCTTTTGGTGCAGGTATGGTGACATGGTACCAAAGACCATTGCTGGGAAGATTTTTGGTTCTATCTGCTCTCTGAGTGGTGTGCTGGTTATTGCCTTGCCAGTGCCTGTGATTGTCTCAAATTTCAGCCGTATCTACCACCAGAATCAGCGGGCCGACAAGCGTAAGGCTCAGAAGGTACGACGTCCAGACATGTTTGACCCACCCCCACACTGCTGTGTTCTTCTCTGGTCGATCTACATGTGTACAATGTTCTGGAGACTGATCTACCTTGGAAGCGTAGTAGTTTTGCTTACCAGCACAAATGCATTTTGTCCCAAAGCAATACGCTGGCATCCTTTTATAATACTTCAGTCTCCTTTCATAGCTTGTGCTGCTTTCTCTAGTTGGAAGAAATGAACTCTATATTTATAAAATCTCCAAACTTCATTCCCACAGTGAACCTAACATCCAATTTAACCAACTACGATTATGAGCCTAGCAGAAATGCTCATCCTTTTTCTGAACTCTTTTTTAAAAAAAACGAAATAATCAGAAGAGATATAGAAGGGAATGAGTTACCCCTGCCACAAGTCCCTGAATTTATCTTGGAAGCCACATTCTCGAAATGTAATGCAGACAAAGCATAGAAGAGCAACAGCCTTTTTTCAGTTTTCTGCTGTATTTATCTGTCTGAAATGTGCCAGACTTTAGGAATTGCTCATTCAGTAGAGTTCCTTCCATATTTGATTCACGTTTACTTCTCAAACACTGACACGGCCACACAGAATCTGAGATAACATCTTTAGCCTAAAAATAATCTGGCACATATCATACAGTTTGTGTGTGCATATATGTGACTACATGTGTGCTCATTCTTTTGTACGTTTCTGTCTGTATATGTGTGTGTGTGTAAGACCGTGTGTATGTGTAGAAGGGTTGATGCAGATTCAACTTGATTTGCAATCTGCCCCACAGTTCTAATTGATTCACTGAGAGTTGAAATGGGTGAGTGGTTATGTGTGCAGGTATAAAACAGTAAGTAACAGAGTGTTGGTGCTCTAATATACGTGTCTGCCAGATATGGTCCTTGGAGTAAGTGACATGAAGTAAAATTTCAGTTTTGTGACATAGAAATAGATGTTTTCCCCAAAAAATTGAAAAGGAAAAAGAATGGTACTTGAGTGAATACTTTCCCTCCTGATAAATAAGAAATCATTTCTTATTGCAAATCTATTGAAATGGTGAAGGGGTTGAAATGAGAGTTCCCTATAGCTGGGTTTAGTGGTAAATATAATAAAAACTGAGGATTCGTGAATGTTAATCGTTTTGCATGTTTTTGTCTGTACAGAAAGCCAGGCTTGCTCGAATTCGTGTGGCAAAGAGTGGGAGTGCTAATGCGTATATGCAAAGCAAGCGCAATGGCTTACTGAGTGAATCACTGGAGCAGGTAATAAGCTACTGTAGAGCTGAGCTCTATGTCTCATTGTTCTTTCTCCTGCTAGAAACATAATTGCATGTTCTGGGTCAAAAATAACCCTTATATGTGTTGCTTATGTTTGCTACTATTCCGGTAATCTTTTGGATACCTGTTCATGTGGAAAATGCCTTCACTAAAACTGAAATTCTGAACTCAAAGGCAGAGCCCTGAGTAACAGCCTAAGAAAATCTGGAACAAGATGAGGCCACTTAAACCATAACCCCATACCTTCCTTTTACTCCTGCCCTTAGTATGGATTGCATCTTACCTTTCCAAATCCCGTGATAGTTAATCTGTGATACACCTGTCCTCCTCCTACCCCCCCCCCACACACACACATACACAGAAATGCAATTGAATTTTAAAAAATTCTTGCAACCATTCATTAGCCTCACATTTCCACTATTCCCTACATTCTGGTGTAATAATTCCTGCAAAGGAAATAATAATAAATCGGTCACTTCAATCCATGACTGTTTGTGGGACATTGCTGTGCGCAATTGATTGCTGCGTTTTACCCACAAAATATACAGTCAATTCACTTTACAGTGTACTCTGTGAAGCACTTTGAGACATTTCAACGACGTGATTAGGTTCTATATCAAATGCGAGGATTATCATTATTATTTCCACGTTTGCCGACAAATACACAGTCACTAGACTTCCCAGTAAAATTTATTTCGTGAGCTCTATGGACCTAATTGGTTTTGTGTCAAGTGTGGTTTGGCTTTTTTTTATTTTAAGCACTTTGAGACATCCTCCTGATGTGAAAGAGGCTAAATAAGTGGGGGAATTGTTAGCCAGAACTCTAGAAGAAACTCTTTTTTCAAATAGTGCCATGCGATCCTTAATGTCCACCTGAACAGGCAAAAGGGACCTCAATTTAACGTATCATCCAAAGAATGCCACCTCCGATAATGCAACACACCCCTAGCACATCTTAGACATGTGAGTTCTTAGTCCGATTTGGGGCTTAAATCCACAACCTAACTCAAAGGCGATAGTGCTACCAACTGATTCAGACTGACACACACATTTTATTGTATTACAACTTAATAACATTTTCTACTCATTTTCTGTTGAATTTCCAGATGTTTAATGATGAAGAACAAGCCCTAGTGGCGAAGACGGGGTCTTCATTTGAAAGGCAGCATCACCATCTCTTACACTGCTTAGAGAAAACCACGGTAAGCAATGACCTTTGAGCCTTTACCAGCTTTTGGATTTGGTCAGTAATCGAACGGTTTTACCCTCTCAGAATACAATTGTTGGGTGGCGGCTGGGGTTATTCTGCACCAAGAAACAAATGTTGTTATGGGATGAATGCTATTTAGTGCAACTCGTCAGGTTTTGCACATTTAACCCTGTGAACTTAAATGTGATTTTGAATATGTCATTTAAAATTACATTTACAAATCAGCAATTACTCCACAACAACGAGTTTGCTATATGAAGCAAACTGAGCAGAATAACTCCTGAGTTTTCCTTTTTTTGCCTCTTATGCTTATAAAAACGTTTTTCCTAAAATTTTACAAACGATTTCTAGGAAAAAAATATTGATTTATTGAAATAATGCACCAATAGATTTGATCAGCGATTCATGTTAAATAAACTTTTACCACAGGATTGTTGCCTTCACCTTCACCACCTTGCTCCACTTTCATCTCTTGTGGCAATATTTACAGAGAACAGATTGACCCACAGTTAAGAATGTTCTGCATTGTATTTACCCTGAACCCTAATGGGTCTGACACAATTGAAAGATAAGTTTAACTTTCCAAGGACACCTGTATGATTTTTCTTCTAATATATTGAACATTTGGAATTTGCACACCAGGAAATAACATGAATTTGTCCATCACACGGATTTCCTTGTGGACCTTTCTTCTGCTCTCTGTTTGTGACAATTTTTTTTTCAGGTGTCAGAAATTATACAAGATCAGCCTGCGCTGCAAACTCAATTCATCCCAGGCCACAAAGGCCAACTGTTTTCATATTTAACCCTGGAAATCATAAATGGGTTGGAGCAACTTAGGTGAAGTATACTGATAAATAATAGGAATGTAAGAACAGGCAGAGTCTGCAGACCATATGGTAAACTCACACCCTGATCCTGAACAACAGGAGACACACTGCGGAGATCAGCCAGTTCCCTAAAAAAGGGACAAGACATGTCGGGAGGCAGTCAAGATGGGGTATTGTTGTGCATTTGCCTCTGCACAGCAGGATCAACAGAAACCTGGCAACAGAGCTTCTGCCCTCTCTCTCTGCTGCAGAATTATATATGAAATGGGAGGGTGGAGGTGAGGCGGTAGTGGGGTGGGGGAATCTTAAAAGAGATTAAGCACGTGCCCGTTTGGATTTGAATAGTTATGTTTAAAAAAAATTGCACTTTTAAATAAATTATTGGATTGTTCAATGTGTAATAATGACGTTTATTTTCTCAGAGGTTAAGAAATAAACGTTTACGCTCCACTTTGAAATGCCAATCCACACCATTCACAATGATTTTTTTACAGACACAAACAAGTATCAATTCAAAATTGGGTTTTTACAAGTTAGAGCAGTTTGCTTGTGCCTGTGAATCATGCCTGGAACTCCCTGCACCAGTGGGATGTCCTGGTTAACCAGGGGATTGATGCCTAATGAATCCTTAAGCACATCTTAAAGCAGTTGCTGACCATGTTTCATGCTATTCCTAGAGCGGCAAGAAAGCTTCCTGACCATTGTTCGCTCTTGAGGCACTGTGCCACCAGCGATATCACTGCTGCCATGAAAGGATCTCAGCGCAGGATTTTAGTTGGTGTGGTTTATATGATTGCACCATGTGAAAGGGTGGCTGTTTATCGAGACATGCCCCTACTTGGTTTCCAGTTTCCTACCTTATTTCCTATGTCGGAAAGAAACAAAAGGCGTGTTATGGACTCCTTCATCTGACCCGTTCCAGTCGTGGTTTACAACGAGCACAGGTAACTGCTCAGACAGTGAGCTCCTGGTGATCACTCAAAACATCAGACACGTTGCACAACGTCAAACAGTGATTTCACCTGAAAGGGGACGCAGTTTTCAATATTCAGTCCTGAGATCTACACAGTATAAACCAAGAACACATGGGAAGTAAAATGGTTTTGCAGAATAAAACCTACAAATAATAATGTCACTCACTGGCTGTAACATTACTGTTGAGGTCAGCACCTCTCACTTCCGATTTGTAAACTCTCAGTCTGCATCATGCATGTTCTATGTCTGTAGGTAGGTATTGCGCGTAATCCATGTCTGAAGTTAACAGCAAGATCTGCATGTGTTTGGAATGATTTCTAGTGAATGGTGAAAAGAATTCTGATACTTTTTGTAGTATTATGTAGCACCCCATGTCCAGAGTCTTTTTTTTTGGTATGTGTAAGATTGACCATGTAACAGTTCTGCTTGAGACTGATTTTAAATGTTTTATGTGTGTGTCTGTGTATGTTTGTACACATTCATCAAGATGAGGAATGTCAGTGCTGAAACATTGAATACTTTTGCTATATGAGCACCAAGTGTTAGCATCAATTATTCCCTGATTAGGGTAGAGCATGGTTAGATGCAGAGTAAAGCTTCCTCTACTCTATCCTAACAATGTATATTTATTACAACCTCAGAAGAGCATCTCCCTTACATTTATGGTATGAAATTATGACATTGATTCACCATATCGACTATTCCCATGGTCCCTCTGAGGTAGATTCCTAATTTAATGCTAAATCAAAGGCTATGCTTATGAACACAGGCCCCTAAGGAACAGCACTCATACTGTGCAACCTTACAGAGGGATATTTATCATGTGATTTCTGCTCTATTAACTTAGACTAGATTTAAATCCAGATCCCAGAAGTGAAAGAGGAAAATGCAAACCCATTTCACCACTACTCCCCAAATAGTATATCCAATGCTTTCTGTATGATAACTGAACCCACACCTTGTTGTCAGCACAATGTGCATTCAAATTTACAGAACCCTACCTCACTGTGAAAGATATTGGAATTCTTCACGTAGGATAGAAATCTGTTAACCCAATTTTGCTTCAAAATGTCTGGGAACTAATTATGTACAAAATTCTGGAAAACCTTTTCCCTGATCTTGAATTTATTACTAATCATTTGGTAATAAACCAGGTTAACCCATCTTTCCCCACCTAGGTATTGCTTCAAAGTTATTCAAATTTAATGGAAGCCTTTACTGGTGAGATAAATCAGTTGAAGCTTTTCTTAAACTATCCAACTATTCAGAAATCTTACTGCCAACTAAAATCAAAAGGGGCAACATATAAAATTGGCATTCAACTGGGGGTAACTACCAAAAACTTCTTTGAGGTTTAAAACCAAGAGAAAATTCACCTGTCATCTCTAAAAGTGAAACCTGAAAATAATTCATGCAAAAAAACAGGTTAGAATAAGATCACATAATGCAATAAACTTTGAAAACCATATTCATATGTGCTCTTCAAAGTTTTTTTTTGCCGTATTGGTCAGTCTAATTTATTTCCACCAACTAATGGTTTTGTTTAAGAAAAAGTAAGTTGACTATGATTTCTTCTTAAATGTACCTGAGCAATGTGTCATGTTCACAGATAATGGTTAACTGTGTAACATTCCCATGTAATGAAGCTAACGGCAAGGATGCTGATGTTTCTGTTCACAATGCTGATGTTACACCTATTAAGATGCATTGGTTATTTTTTTCTTTTTTGTTGGCATGTTACCATATAGGGATTGTCCTATCTTGTGGATGATCCCCTCTTATCAGTTCGGTCTTCAGCATCCATTAAGGTACCAGTTTGATTGTTCATCTCAGAATTTTCTAAACTTAAGTGCTTTGTGTTGCAGTATTTGTGCTGCCGCTGTTAATGCTTCTGAAGATGTTTGTGCTGTACGCTGATATTTTGTACTTGTGTGCAAGCTTTCCTGCTGATTCTGTTCTGTTATATTGATGGGTTTGGTGTTGTTCGGGTGTTCTTCGTGTGCCATTGTCTCTTGAAAGTGTTCTTTAGCTTTTAACAACGATGGCCAGTGGTTGGTAAATGTTGGAAACATTGTTAGTGCCAAATCCAAACTGACTGGTAATGTGCCTTGTGCATTTACTATATCCAATGCTTTCATTTTTTTAAAAAATGTTTACCTATCTTTTTTCGGCTTGAGTGTTCTAGATAAGCAATAATTTATATATTCTGGAGGGAAATGGTGGGACTGAGGGCAAAGGATTTTCAAACTTTGACCTTTAGGCAGTGGGAGACTATTTTCAAAAGCAACGATAAGGAAAACTAGTGTCTTTTACGACTCCAGTAAAATTACAGTACAATCTGTGTAGATGTTCAAGAGTAATACACAGTGTCAGGAAACTAACAATTCAACAGCAGCAATTTGCAATGATATAACCTCTTTTATGCAGGAAAATATCTCAACATGCTCCACAGAGACCGAGCAGGAGCTCAAGCAGGATGGGAGATAAGGCTTAGGAGGGAGGTAACCAAACGTACAGCTAAAGAGAGAGAATGTTTTAGAACAATTTTGAAAGCAGAGAGGACGGGTGTAAAGGGAATGAATTTAGGGAGAGTGTTTCAGAGATCAGGGGCATTGCTATGTTATTTTGATTCAACCATGAACTTGCTATGGTGTAGTGGGAAGATGATACTGTGGCTACCTTAGAAGGATAATAATAATCTTTGCATTTGATATAGCGCCTTATCATGTCTTTGAGACGTCTCAAAGTGCTTCATGGAATATACTGTAAAGTGAATTGATAGTATATTTTGTGGGCGAAACATGGCAGCCAATTGCGTACAGCAGTGTCCCAAAAACAGGCGTGGATTGAAGTGACCAATTTATTATTTTTTAAAAAGGAATGAGATCAAAAGCCTTCTTCATCCAAACCCCTCTTGCGATCTTTGTAGCATATTTCAATGGAAAGTACTTAATGTGCTGATTCAGTTCTTTTAAATTTGGATGAACACTGTAGGACTCTGTAGTTCCAGCACTTTGGGACATTGGTAACAATAACCAATGTGACCACTCAAATGTAGATTTACAAGTCCCTGATATTTTTTTTCCTCATATCACCTTAGTCCACTTCTTCATTGCCAGAGCTGATTTAACATACACAAGGACAGCATAGCTCAAAAATACTTTAGATATGCATTAAGTTGCTGGTAAACAAATGGCAACACGGTTCATACCAGGTGATTTGTTTCACACTGCATTTCAGCCATATAACTAAGTAACCAATAATGTAGTTAGGAATTTTTTTGAGCAAATTTGTAAGTGTGAGTAAACAGGGACAGAACGACAGTAGATCATGTAAATGGATGATTTGTCTGTGAGTAACACTGTTTCAACATCCCTGCCCCTCAGAAGGGAGTAAAAGAACCTGAATGAAAGGAGAAAACAGAGCAACATAGTTTGTTATCAACTCATTAAAAGATGATAATGCAACATCACTCACAAAACTTCTGGAAAGACTTATCAAAAGGTGAGTATTGAACTCCAGATCAGAGCTGGAGTTAGCAGAGGATACGAAGATGATGATGAGCAGAATCTTCACACTGTGAGAGCCCCATATTTTACTGATGGGGAAGGTGGCTGAAACAGCCATCGCCGGGGCTATCCAAATGTAACAATGTAAATTTCCCAGTATTCATGGGTCAGCTCACCTGTAACCTCAGTGAGTTGTATTGGTGTTCATGTAGGGAGTCTAGACTATCAGACCCTATTGCTGCCCTTCAAAATGCTTATTTTAAAAACCTTCTAAAGGTATCCCTTATAACCCGTGTGAAACACTTTTTACCCCTCTTTTCGTTTCCCTTCTTCTAACCAGAATCACGAATTTGTCGATGAGCAGATGTACGAAGAGAACTGTCTTGAACGTTCCACGGGAAATCGTGTCGTGTCTCGCAGCCCCTCTCTCTCCTCACAGCACGGCTTGACTGGAACATGCTGCTCAAGACGCAACAAAAAGACTTTCCGGCTCCCAAATTCTAATATCTGCCTCAGTCGGCCTGGAAGTGTACAGGAGCTTAGTACTATTCAGATACAATGCGTGGAGCGGACTGGCCTGTCTAATAGGTAACTTTCTTCATGTGTTTTTCTTTTCTATTAAATAAAACCTAATTTCCTCCTCCCCACACACACACACATACACACACACACATATCAGTCGTCAAGGATAAAAGTGTGCTTTTGCAGGTATAAATTACAATGCCAATACTATAGGTAAGTTACTGTTTGAATCAATTATTCAATTATTTTAGACTATTTAACAGGTGGGTGTTTGCTGTACAACAAATGTGATGGTTTGGGATTCAAGCTGCTTTTCCCCCACAAACAAAATTTGATTTTGAAATCCCAGATAAAATAGTCCTGCTGTCTCTTGCTTTTTGTTTTTGAAAAGATAGGCAACTTCACAACAGGTACCGGGTCCAAATGTTGAACAGGGAGCTTCCATAGGTGGGATTCGGAGAATTTGGGGCATGCAGCCAATGCTCTATTGATTCCAGCCGTGGATTGATTCTGATCAGGGAGCCCGGTTTCTATTTACTGCTCTCACCTGGTCTCTCCGAGGGCTAAAGAATGCCAGAGCTCCAGGGTTGATCCTGTTATTAGTGACTGATAATATAATCTTGAAAAAAGAGAGAACAGAGAAGGTGGGGCAAAATGACAACCGAGAGAAAGCCTGTGCCTTTTTAAGACATTTAATTAGAAAGCTATACAGTGCAGACTTTGTTATTAATGATACAGTGCTAGTTGCTCCAGACAGTTGCACAGCATCATTGCAGTGCTTATAGTGTTAGTATCCTTTATGCTGAATTAGGAGATTTTCTCCATTACAAGTGAGGCTTGAAATTTAGCTGGGAAAGAGGACAGCTCAAACAGCCTGAAAACTTTTCTGAAATATAGCCAGCTTTCAGCACAATTTTTAAATTATAAAATTTACGAAGCATCCAAGGATTAAAACCTGCAGCACTTTGACTGAAATTACCGAAGCTGTCAAAATTGGGTAGGAAATCCTGAGATTCTGGATCTTGTATATTAGTAGATTTAAGGATTTTCTTTGAAACACAGTATTAGCTGCAGCTGCAATTAGAAGCACCAGGTCAGTGAAGAGCCTGAAGTGCCATCACTAAAGGAAAGATTACAGTTGTGATAATTGGGGAGTGTAATGTTTTGATTCTGACCTTTAAAACAGAACATCCTTGATTATAGAGCAAACCAGTTTAAAAAGGGTTGTGTGCGAATCAAGCTAACTTGGACCATTAATTTTTTTCCCTCTGCTAATCATTCTGATTGTGTAACAAAACTGCGGCATTTAGTCAAAGAATGCAATTATTTTAGTGGTAGTTCTGATAAAAGGGAACTTATCTAACCATTAAACTCTGTTATTCTTTTTTATATACAAGAAGATGGGAGTGGAGCATTATATAGTTCATCTGATAACTCGACCCAATGTCTTTACCAATGTCTTGTAAGATATAACATTGTCTGTTCACTCTTGCAGCCGATCCAGTTTGAATGCAAAGGTAGAGGAAAGCGTCAAACTAAACTGTGAGCAATCCTACATAACAACAGCAATAATAAGTATCCCAACCCCTCCTGGCACAACACCTGAAGGAGATAACAGGTCTGACTCCCCTGACATATCCGAACGCAACATTGTGAAAGTGTCAGCACTGTAAAAAAAAGGGAACTGTTGAATAGCAGCCTGGAATGTCATCTGACCACTTGTGTTGTGTTCATGCTATTGGAGAAAAAGAACAGAATGTCACAGATTGGAGACAAAGAAAAGAAAATCGATGCTTTTCCTGATAGTTTTGCATTTCGAAGCCCATGACGACAACGACCAAAGCATGGAAGGATAATTTTAAGGGAAGTTTGGCATCAGGGTTGTGTAATATTGACATGAGCTGCGCAAAAGGAGTTATAATTAAGCTCGAAATAGGTTACGAAACATTCTGCAGAAAACGTCTTTGCAGTTGAGCACAATGAGACTTTTTTCTCTCTCCTTTCCACCCCCACCTCCCACCCATTTATGTTACATTTCCTGTCGAGACAGCTCTTTTTATCACTAACTCGCCTGACGTGGAAAAACGTCTGCATGGGAAACAAAAACTCGCAAACTTTTCAATGCATCAATATGGGATTTTCTTCCCAGCAGCAAAAGTAAAATGAACTTGTTGAAGTTGAATTGTAAAGACAGAAGTAATTGTAAAGAAGTGAATCAAAGACTGGTGCATTTTAAATGAAACAAAGACCACTGCAATGCATGTTAACATTTTCTTGAGGCACATTTCCTTCTTCAGTGCAGTCAGTGGGGATTCACCAGCATCGAGACTGTTTCCTCTAAGATGACCGGGGAAAGGCTGCTTGAAAGTTTTTGATAAGACTGTTGTTCAGTGATCAAACACGGTTTAGTGAACAAGAGAGTAAGAGAGTTTTAGCTATCAGTTTCTGTGAACTGCACTAAAAGTTAGTGACCATCGGTCCTCAAATTCTCGAAGACACTGATACTTGTATTGAGACCAATTTGAGCTGAGTACAACCAAGTCAAAATTTTTATCCTGAATTTTTGCTTTCTGTTTAAAAACTTTTATAATTAAGGACGGGTGGGTGATTTTTTTCAGAAAGTACTTGAATATGAGAATTTCAGTCATGTGTTACATGATTTAGTCTTTCTTCACTGCAGCTCTGGCAAGGCTAATGGACTGTTTATGCATGGCCCACTGGTTTATGGGATTTGGTGGATGGTTATTCAGCAAGTTGTGTTTTCCTACAATCTCTAGATGTGGAAGATGTTCTTCCTGCTAAAGAATTATTCTCTCAGTATCTGCACAGGTGCTGAATCACAGTATTAATTCCTTTTCCTTTTTTTAAAAAAAAGTAGGAATATAAGGTGTGATAATGTTTGAACTATGTGAATTTTAATCGTTTAAACCATTTTGATTGCATTAACACTGCAAGGTATTGTTGAGCAGTAGAGAGCCCTTTGATCTCAGCTATAGTTCAAACGATTGCGAAAAACGCAATCCGTACTGTGGATTATGGAAATTGATCAAGAGGATAAGCAAGTTTTAATAGGCTGAACCAATTTTGTCCCAAAATGGCAATATCCCAACCAAACCACAGTGCTTCAAGCAGAGGGTAAGCAAAAACATAATGCTTCAGTGCTTCAAACAGAGGGAAATAACAGAGTAACCAAGCTTGCATGGACAAGGTTTCTTGGGCAAGGCAAAGGGCCTTTGCCATGTAATTTTTTGTAAATGCTATTGTATTTAGATCAATGTATCCAGTTTACAAATGTGAACTTTGTTGACACGCTGTTAAATAGGGATAGGGTGCTTGGAAAGAAAAATAAATTTTAAAAGAAAAACAAGACATTGCATTCTTCTTCCTTTCAACATTTTCCCTCACATTAGTCTACAACCGAAGCACTGCACAATAATCCACAATAACAATACCTGCAAGATTTAATAAATTCCAGGTTGCAAATACAGGTATATAATGATGTTTTTCACACTTTCAATACAAAGGTGAACAGAAGATGCACTCTCCAGATATATAACAGAGCAACTTTTCCAAATTCTCTTGAATCTTACTTATTGCAAAAGCTTCATTTTATGTTTATTTATGAATATATAAAATCTGTTGTGCTGTAGGTGACTCAAAAAAAATATGTTTTATTCTGGGTTGTGAAATGACTGTTGCTTTTTGTATTGTATGTTGGTTGTAAGTATACAATTTTGCCACATTTGCTGTTCCAAAGTGTTTAAAAAGCTTTCCTAAATTCCAGTTTAGTGAAGCAACATCATTCACTGGGGCTTTTTCGTGCTGAACAACTAGACATCAAAAAAGTAAAATAAAGCTTCTGCATGCTTCATTTGGAAGAAATGGTATTGTAACTAAAGTAGCTCTTAATTCACCAACAGCATTCATTTCTTAACTTCTAAAAAGTGAAGTTTTGTAAACTTGTCCATAACTAGATAAATGGAGCAAATAGAAGTATGTAAATAACAAAGTTGCTGTTGATGACAACACGTGCTATTGGGCAATGGAACTTAATTCAACAGAACCCACAGAGATATGAAGAATATTTAAAGTGAACATCTTCATGTGTAAACTTATACATGGAAAGACATCTCCCTACGAAAATCTCAGTAATCTATAGGTACAGGGATATTGTGAATTTTACATAATTTATAAATTGAATGGAAACCTGTGATAAAGCAAAGGATTCAAGTGTTTGAAACTTTGAATTAAAATGTTTTCATTTTTGAGCATTTGTGTTTTCTGTCACCTTGATTAATTGCAATTTCTCGGCCAATGTACAGCATCAGAAAGATCCTAAGTAAAATAATACATTTCCATTAAAACATTGCAAAAGTAACCTAGCCCTATTTTTCCCTTTAAGGGTTTAATCAGTAGTGCAATGCACATTTGTTTATTGGAATAGCACCGCCAATAACTTTCTGCCATAGAGCGAGTAAAGTACATTCATCTAAATAAATCTCACCATTGAGCAGGTCAGTATTATGCATATCTGATTACACACAGTGTTTTTATATCTATCCTGACTCATTGCACATAACACGATTCCATCAGCTATGTAAAGTCATTTGATTTCTACACCATTAAAACAAGCCTGTACAAAAGCAAGATTTGCCTGGAATAACCTTTGAAACAAAAGCAGAAACTACCAATTTGTTCATGATTTTTTGACAATCAAATTTGCCAAAGTAGGACAAAGTTAACAGCAGGGAAAGTAATTTTTAGGGAAGCAATCATCCAAACTTTCCTGATGGCCCAGTTGATAAAGAGTTGACCTAATTCAAAGCTAAGACATGCAGATCAGGAGGGTCTCAGGTCTTATCCCGAGTTGTGCTGAGTTAACTGATCTCAGTTGCAGTGCTTTAACTGGCCTCAGTGGCCCTGCTTTATGGAAAGGGAGCTCCTGTTCGCTATCCATTAGTTAGTATTGGGAAGTGCAAATGTGTATATAGATCGGGTGAGAGATGTATTAGGGTCAGTTTTCATACTGCCATATATATATATATGTGTGTGTGTATAAAAGGACTTAGTGCAAGCCAGCTTCAAAGTTCAGTCTATTCAAGAATTTGCCAAGTTCTGCATATTCTGAATTGCTAAGGAATATGAGTAAATCTAGACCCAGGTAGAATTTCTTCCCCTTCCCCACCAAGGTAAATAGTCGCCTGACACTCCCCATCCATTTTCACAACTGGAAAATGAGTGGAGTAGTGCATGGCAAAGAGATAAGAGAAAATACAAGGGCAAAATTAAATGCCATCTTTAAACAAAATTCAGACACAGAGATGGATAAAAAGATACAAGGACTAATGTGCACCAGGGACGAATATAAGATGATTAAATGTCAACTTGAGAATGTAGCAAAGATTTGAACACGTTGAACAGAAGTGGGCTTCACACTAACTAAAAAAGACTGGAACTTCAAAAAACGTTTGGTAGAACACTCACTCCACGATGAGTTTCCCTTTGGGACCACCTTTTGTGCTCTGGACCTGAAGTGCTAGCGAACTAGTTGTGAGATGTGGCAGAGAATCAAAAGAACTAACATACAGGTAAGGCTTTTTGTGATCATCTCTGACATTTCACAAGTAATTCTAATGCTACATTTTGAAAATATCCTGAATTTAATCTGTATAATATTTAAAGATGTCCATCATCTATTCTGGTTCTCTACTTAAAAAGAATTCCTAAAGCTGAGGTTTATTGTTAAAAGTAGGTCTGAGAGTTGCCATGGAAACAGGATAACGGGTTCCATTCTGATGGAGAAATCCAATGACTTCTTTGCATCAAATGGCAATTTAGATTGGACAGAACATGACAATTTAATAACATTTCTGAATTTCAACCCAGGTGAGCTTTAGTTGTGTTTTTGAGGCTGGTTGCATATATTTAAAGTTTTGACTTTCAAATGGGTGATGGCATTAGTTATTTGGGAAAGGAGGAGGGAAAGGTTGCAATTTTCTTTTTAAAACAATTTTAGGTGGCAGGACACCCCTCCTGGAAGTGGGCGCTTCTTCTTTCAGACCAGTTCACTGCCATAGAATTGCATAAAGTGATCCAGCCTTCAACCCTACAGTCCCTACTGATATTTATATTCCCCACAAGGCCCCACCCCTCCTATTCCCTTCTCTTATATCCATCTGTTCCCTTTCTCCCTCATGTATGCCTCAAGGTTTTCCCTAAATATCTTGTACATTGATGCTATTTGCTTCAACCACAACTTCCAGCAGTGAGTTCCACATTCTCACCACCTACTGTGTGAAGACGTTTCTCCTAAATTCCCCATTAGATTCCCCATTACCAGTTATATTTAAGTCTGCTAGTTTTGGAGTCACCATCTTTAATATTGCTGAAACAAGATAACTTTTTATTCTAAATTTTAGTCCCTGGAGTGACTGCTGCATTTGTTTTACTTAATATTTATTTCCTAGAAATTAACATTTGTTCCAACCAGGCAGCCTTGTCTTGGGACCTTGGGTAAAATTCAACAGTGCTCAGTCCTGCCTTGGTCATGGATTTTTTTTTTGTGAGTTACTTAACTTATTATTTCCTATTTGAGCCCATTTGTCACAAATCGTATGATTCAATGCGGAAATGGAAGGTGCCGTTCAGACAATGGGAGAAAATCTCAAAGGACAGATTACATGAGTAGATGGAGTTTAACATTGACAGGTGTGAGTTAGTGCCCTTTGAAATCAAGAATAGCAAAAGGGAATATGTATTAATTGGAGATGGTTTAGCAGGGATAGATGAGTAAATAGATGTAGCTGTCCAAGTCCATAAATCATTCAAATCTAGTTTTAGTAAGTAATCTATAAGGCTAATATGATGATGGGTTTTATAGGAAGGGGTTTGCAATATAAAATCAAAGAATTGCTCCTCCAGTTACATAGGGAGCTAATCAAACCTCATTTGGATTATTATGTTCACTTTGATAATTCAATATTAGGAAGGATATATTAGATTTGGACAGCATCCAGCAGCTACTCATCAGATTAATATCTGAGATGAAGGGTTTTAGCTATGTTGAGAAGTTGGGTAAACTTGGGTTATATTCCTTAGAGCTGGGGAGGTTAAAGGGTGATTTCATTGAGATGTGTAAAGTAATGAAGTGCATTGACAAGCCTGAGCTCAGATGACTCATTTCGCTGGTAGAGGGGACCAAAATAAGGGCTGGGATGTTTAGAAGTGAGAAAACATTTCTTCATACAGATGTGAAAATATGGAATACACTCCTCCAGAAGGCTGTCAAGGTCAAATCAATTGGGATGTCCAAAAGGGAATAAAATAGATGCTTCAAAATTAAGGATATTAAATGGTATGGAAAAAAAGACTGGGAAATGGAATTCAAAAATCTGCCATAAAGCAGTAAACTGATGGAATAGGGTCAATGGTTTAAATAGCCACGTCCTGTTTTTACGGATGTTAATAAGAGTCATCTTAATAAGAGAACTTGATAAAGTATACACCTGGACTGAGCATTGGCACATTAAGTTCAATACAAATCAATGTAAGATACTGCAAACTGGAAGTAATAAAAGTAATAAGATCAGTGTACTTTTCAAACACTGCAGTACTAAGTACTTGCGGTAGAACCGGCATTTAATGAGTTTGAGTCGATTTGGAGTCACTGCAACCATCTTTCTCAGCAGGAGACTTTGACAGATAAACCATTGTAATCATTTAGTGTGAAAATCTGTTCAGTTGTCTCAGTGTGGCGCACAGCAAGCTTCACATTTCAGGAATCTCAGCTTATGTGCTCATTAAGAACACATTTATTCTTCACACTGACCATTTTTAACACTGTGAACCTGGCAATGGGGTTTTAATGCCCTATGACTGTTGATGTGTGGCTTTTCTACCTTGGATGTGCTTTCTTTCAAGTCTGACTCACAAATATGAAGTTTTCCAACTAATTGTAGAGTACTGCATGTTATTTTCTGGTAACCATTACACATGTTTTAATATCTGTTGAGCAATATTTTATGCTGTGAGCTGTCACACAAACCAAGATCTTTTGCCTATAAAATACAGTCACTACATTTTAAGGTGAAGAGTTTCAAGGCGTCCTCCCAACGTGAAAGATGTTTTATCCTGTACTATATCTCGTATCATTAATGAAATCATTGAGCTTGGAGTCCCAGAAATCCTTTTTGTTGTAATGATTAACAGGACACAAATTCTGATACATGTCCTATTTGGTGGGTTTTCAAGCTAGACCTTCACATGAGGAAGAGGAGAATAGAGGGGTATGGAAGGGAGTAAAGGAATGGGTGGAGACTCATATGGAGTATAAACACTAGCACAGACTGGTTGGGCTAAGTGACCTGTTTCCGTGCTGTACAATCTTTGTGAATCTTTATAAGCCAGAGGCGATTGGACAGTGTTTCCAAATCAATGTGCTGTTCAATGCTTTACATTTTTTGTTCTTTAATAGATTGTGTCATTGCAGATCAATTAATTATTTTAACAAGATAGTTGGAACACTGCTGTTGATACTTGTGCAGTTGTATAAATCAGCTTATTTTCTTCCATATTCAAGGTGGGGTTTTTTTTCTCCCTTCACATATTCTTCAAACGATCAGCTCCAATTCCTACGCCCGTGCTACTGCTGATCCTTGTTCAATCTTCTTCTCCACCTGTATGCTTGATCTTCTCTGACCCCACTCTTCTGCTTGACCCCTCTGCTCGACCCCTCCTTGCTGCACATCAATGCCCCTTTCTGTGCCAGAATCAGAGAATGATTCTACACCTCAAGTCGCTGGAGCTTCCTCCCTCTACCCCTCCATCTCATGCCTCTCTATTTGTCTTTACATCTTGCATAAAACCCTACCTCTTCAACCAATGCCCAGAGTCTTCACCCTCCCCTCCCCTGCCTCCTTTTCCCTAGTTCAGCATCCAACCCTGTCTTTCTGATGCTCTCTTGAGACATTATCCTTCATGAAGGGCACAACATAAATGCAACCTGTTGTTGTCACATGAAAGCCTCACAGTATGACTCGATTACTGAGGTTTCCTCTCTCCTTCTATGTGGAACACCTAGCCTCTAGGATCTAGCTGATATTAGGGAATCATGAGTGTAAAATGTGCCAATCACTCCGTCACATACACTATTCTGTTCAGAAATGAAAATCCAAAGATTTGAAGATTGGTTTGAATTACGTTTATTGAAACTGATATATTTTTATTTTGTTTGTAAGAGACATGTAATATACAGGACGTACAAACTACCAAGCATTAGTTCGTGCTCCGCCACTGTCAAGCGCTCTGGGACGCTACACTGCTTGAGGGGGCACTATATAAATGCAAGTTGTTGTAGCTCACATTGCCTCACACAGGCACATGTGAGCCAAATGTAACCAGGAAAATTCAAGAATGGAGATTACTTTAACATTCATAGTAGCTTTTTGAAAATGATGACTTTACTGTGAGTCTTAAGCTGCTTTCAATCCTTTGTGGCATAGTCAGAATTGTTTCAGACCATCCATGAAGTATTTGTAAACGAAAACTTTGGTTTCTTTGTATTTTTAAACTCTTCAAGAAGTTAAAATGATGACTTGAAAATAGTTTCTGGTATTTCCCCCTATGATTTATGAGCTGGTACTTCTGCTACTGTTTGTACCTGGAAGGACCAGCCTATTTCAATATATCTATCAAACAAGACAGTATTTCAATAATAGAGCTTTGCATAATCAGAAACAATTGTTAATAATAATCCCTACGTTTGATATAGTGCCTTTCATGTTGGGTGGACATCTCAAAGAACTTTTGATTCTGTGTTTTGTGGATGAACATGGCAGCCAATTTGTACAAAGCAATGTCCCATAATCACCCATGAAGTGAATAACCAATTTTATTGGAGGGGGAGTTGACTTGGACAAACTCCCTTCTCTTTTCAAACAATGTCATTTACATCCACCTGATGCAGTCAGGCCCTTGACATCTCATCCAATTGATGGCACTTCCAACAATGAAGCACACCCCCAGCACCACACTGGATTGTTAGCCTCGACTATGAGTCTCAAGACCTGACATGAGGCTTGAACCCATAAATGTGAGAGGCGAAAGTGCTACCAACTGAGCCAGGCTGATTAAACATTGTTTGAGCACGGTTCATAATGCAGTTCCTGAAAATCAGTCCTCTATAACCTTTCCTCTAAATTTGATCAATAAGGAGGTATTTTAAACCACAAGACGAATGGATCATGCATGCATTTCATCATTATTATTATCAAGCCATAAAGATTAGAAGATTCACTTCCAATTATCATGAATCAAAAACTAATTCCTGTAGAAATGCAAGATTTAATCAATTACATCAATACTTTTAAAGTAAAATGTAAATGTGCTAATTGTGTTAACTGCTTTGGTGGAACCTATGTATCTCTTGACTTGTTTTAAAACACAATCAGTCTTCCTCCTCCAGCGTGGATTAATTCAAAAACAAATCTCAATCTCATGGCTTGTTTTAGTACCTTTCATATTCTGTACCGTTAAAAGAATCTACAAATGTGATGAATACATTTACTTGCACAAAGTGAATCTTTCTTCACCACCGTCTCTTATCTCTTTACAGATGGTGGCCCGCAATTAGAAGATTTAACACATCCATTTCTCCTTGCAAATGTTACCACTGGCATTCGTTTAAAAGGGTAAACCATTAGGGGAAACTGTGTGCAATAATTTGAGAATCTAGCTGGCTCGATCAGCTTGCAGCTAGAGTTCTGCCATTTCAAAGTGCGAGTAGAAGCTGCTTGCTGGGCCCGTCTGCCTGAGTTCACAAACCCTTGAACCGTGCTTTAACAATTCCATTGAATGCCTTGAGTGGTGTTGAATGACGACTTTGTTTGGAGCCACCACTTGAGACCCTAGGTCTTTTTTGTCAAAGTATAGAGCCCAGAGTAAGGTAATGGTGAGAATCATGGCCAGCAGCTGTGTTACACCAATCGAAATCCCAAGAAACCTCAACACCTGCAATTGTTTTGTGCCACGCAGGAAACTGTACATTTTCTGACCACAACCCTGTTTTAAAAAAAAGCCAGACATTGCATTAATAATACAAAGAAAATGCTGACATATCCCTTCTACAGGCATATGAACACATGTCCGCACACACACATAGATACATACACACACACACACATGCATTCTATTTAATGTTCCGAGACATTATACTATGTGAAGAGTGCTATATACAGTAAATGTAAGTTGCTGTTGTTTGTTTGGTTTAATTGCACTGAGTTTTGAGAAATGCTCTTGTATAATGTTAAGGAACACTTTGAATCAAAATTATAACACAAGCAACCAACTCTTACCCACGGATATACTGCCCATGCTATAGCCTTCTCGTTTTCTATATCAGTTTTATCTATCAGTCTAAAAATACCATATTAAAGGTTAGTAATTCATTTTTAGGACAGAATATTGGAAATAACAATAATCATTGTTTTTGATATAATGCCTCAAAGCCCCTCATGAATTTTACTGTGAAGTGTAGTGACTGTGTAGAGTCAAATCTATTTTGAGCAAACGCTTAGGGGACTGGACCAAATTGTATTATTTAAGGGTGACTTCCGAGTAAGGCTTCGTTGACTGGGCACAATTTTTTTTTAAAATGTCTGTAAGCCTGCATGCAGATTCCTAGTGCATTTACCAAGGACGGAAGCTGTGGGTATCACATGGGCTGTTCAGCGCCATGTTGGTAAATGCGCTAGGAGTCCAGCGAGTCTATGAGCGAGCCTGCTGAAATTGGTAATGTATCACCACCATATACACTTAATTTCACTTAGAACTGGCTGCTGAAAAGGGTGTCAGTACACCAACAAGGCTAAACAAGTGTGGCTACTGGTTGTGTTAGACAGGTGTTTGCTGAATAGAGGTGATTTATACTGAAAAATCAGTCGGGACTGTTTTAGAAGGGTTGTTGGCAGCAGGTGGTTGCTGAATAGAGGTAGTTGCTTTAACAGGTTTGACCATATTTTGAAGACAAAGGTGGCAGCCAATGTATGCCCAAAGGTGTCACACAAACAGCTATGAAGTGAATGACCATTTTTATTTTGGGGATTGTTAGGCAGCACACCAGGAGAAAATGTTCTTTTTTCAAATAGTACCACGGGATGATCTTTAGCATTCACGTGAAGAATAAGATGGGAACTCGGTTTAATATCTCATCTGAAGGATGGCACCTCCGACAATCTACCACACCCACAGCACTGCAATGGAGTGTCAGTCTGAACTCTGTGAGTTCAAAGTCCCAATTGTACATTTAGTGGCACCGAACTGGAATCAACCCTGGCAGAATGGTTTCACTCATCTTCGTATTTAGCCTTTCATACACCACCACTATTATCTTAAGTGATTAATCCTTGGAATATCACCTTGCGAAAACCAATTTATTTTCTTTGACAGATTTCAAGTGCCAGAATTTGATGAAAAGTAAATTCATGGAGCACGAGTCAGAGTCTCTGCTGTGTTCGTGTCCACAGTAAACAGCATTAGCCTTCTGACTGCTGGTAATGATATCATTTGTTTCATCGGTGTTCAGTTCTGTGCATGCCGGCAAGATATCTTGAAGCTGCTTTCATTTATACAATGTCGTAAAAATTCTATCAAAATCTGACAAGATCACGCAAATGAGTCTTAAAATCAGGGATTCTTTTAAGTAATGTAATTCTAAGCTTTGAAAGAATCTAAGTGCACAGGAGGAGAAAAGGCCACTCAGCTCATTAAAGACTTTCTCGATACAAATCCCATGTGATTTACATCTCCCCATTACCTCCTGGGTCAAAGGTTCTGTATAACTATTCCCTAATCCCCACATTTCCTATTCAAGCTGTATTCCTTCCTTCAACGGATTACCTCCCTGTACTCAGAAACCATTGTGTTCTACTAAGTGTGAGATGTTAAACCGAGGTCCTGTCTGTCTGTACAAATGGATGTTAAAGATTCCATGGCAGTGTTCGAAAAGAGAAGGGAGTTTTTCCTAGTGTCCTGACCAAAAATACCCCCAGATAAAATTGGTCATTCATTTCATGGTTGTTTGTGGGACATTGCTGCGTGCAAATTGGGAGTCAGGTTCACCTTCAAAATACAGAGTCACTAACTACGCTTTACAATATATCCTGTGAAATGCTTTGAGTTGTCCTCCCAACTTGAAATGTTCTTAAGCAAATGTAAGGATTATTATTTGTTCATCTGAATCTCCCACGTCGTATTCATTTATTTCTATCTACCCTATAACCTCCGCCCAATATCCTCCAATTAACTCCATTATTCTGTTACTTTCTTGAAGGTTTTAATCAAAGCCACGCAAGTAAAATTTATAAGAACCTATTTTATTCCTGGGTGTATTTCAACAATAAAAAAATCCTCACATCTGCACAGCACTATTACTGTATCAATTGATTTCCCCCATCACAATCTGGTAACTTTGGAGATACGATATTAACTATTATAATTCAAGTATTAAAAACCATAGATACTTGCATTTTAAATTAACTGTTCTGTATCAGACCAATGTTTAAAAACCTTTAAAGAGGAAACTAGTTGTTATGACAACTAAAATGATACCTCGCTTTACACTGCTCCATTTACAATTTGAATTCTATTCTTCAGTGAAAATGTACCTCCGTGATAAATGTTAATGCATTGTACACAGAAGATACTGAACAAAGTTATACATTCTATCAATCCAGTGTGTGTTAACTCTCCTGGGATGGGAAATTTCACAATTTGTGCTCCAAGCACTGGCCAACAGTGGAGGAAAAGAAAAATCTCAGGAAAGGAAAGGTAAAAGCTTAATTCATGATTTCCTGGCAGAGGTTTTTTCTCTGCCAACTGTGAGATGCCTGAGCTGTTTCCTCTGGCACCATCATTCAGGGGAATTCTGCTTCTACCATTTCTTCAGTTTGAAGTGCTGGTCGATTTCTTCTTTTCAGTGAATAAAAAGTGTGACTGTCATAAGATCTGTTCACAATGATGCACGGTACACCACTAGCACAGTATTGGGAGGAATTGTAATGCGTACTTCTGCAAAAATCAATCAACTTCGGGCTGTCGAGTTGCAGCTCATCTAATCTCTTTACAACTCTGTACTTGTAGCTTTTAAGTCTTAGAGCTCCTTGATACAAGTCGTTCCTACAAGCTAAATTGGTATCTTTTGAAGGTGGGATGGTAGTTGATATACTAGTTGAAGCAAAACTGCCAATTTGAGCTGAGATAAAATAAGGGTAGAAATTAGGCGCCTTTCATCATTCTCAGCAACAAGCACATCCTCATCTTCAAAAGCCTCCACCACCTAGACCCACCTCCAGTACTACTGTGATATTTTGCGATGGTGCTCCTCCTCTCTACTAGCCTCCACTCCACCAACTTGGATTCCTTCACGCTTCCCCCATCCATTAGGCCCCACCATCAACAGGCAAGCTTTAGAGAATTTGCCCCCTCTCTCTGGAACTCTCTTCTGAAGTCCCTCCACCTCATCAGCTGCATGTTCAGCTAACTTCCTTCTTTCCTCCCAGCTTGGGCTCCCACTGAATTTTTTTTTGAGACATTCTCCTGTATGAAAGGTGTCTTACAAGTGCAAATGGTTGTTGCTGTTCACTAAAACGGAGTGGCATCCATAATAATGCTTGCATTTGATATAGCGTTTTTCACGTCTTCTAGACGTCTCAAAGTGCTTCTCAGAATATACTGTAAAGGGAATTGACTGTATAATTATGGGCAAAGCACAGCAGCTATTTGCACACAGCAGTGTCACACAAACAGTAATGGATTAAGTGACAAAAAAATGTTTTGAAGCATTATTATCCCTGGATAAACAAAAAAACAATTCACCATTTGACCAACAACAACTTGAACTTATATAGTGCCCTCCACACAGGGTAGCGTGTCAGAGAGCTTGAACAACGGGGTTCCTACTTCCTGCTAGGTAAACATAGGTGTGTGGAGTAAAGAAACTTGCTGAACATTTCGCCATGCGAGGCGAGTGCTCTAACTACTGAGCTACAGGACTCCACCTGGTACTCATGCTCACCAGATCATTCCTGTCTCTGTGACCTTGACAATAAAAGCCAATGAATTTAAGTCACTGGCTTGAATGAGCACAATTGAATTTTGTATTCTATCCAGTTTACTGTTCTGTCACCAATATTGCTGTTGTGAGCTAAACTAGGCAGTACATGTGTTGCTAGTTCACATTAGCACAACATCCTTGAGGTGAAATCTATTGCTATTGACCGTATGTTCTCTACTGGCCGTCAAGCTAACAAAGCTTCTGGCTTTGGCTTGTACCTCTGGATGTGTTAAAGTGCTAAGATTTGTATCTTGACATTTAGCATTTTTCTACTTTATTTTGACAATTACAATTTTTATCTGGGTATTCAGCCTTGTGTTTTATCAATTTGAAATGATTTGCAAATCGTTAAAGCCACAAATTGGATAATCGATAAGAAATGTAATCTTGCCTGTAATGCCCATTAAATGCATAAGCCTTAGATTTAAGGAAAAAAATTGTATTGCGTTTCTTGTGTCCTTGCTGCCTTTCATCATAGAAACAACAATGTATAGTAGTGAAATCCCCCAAATCAAATGACACTGAAACCCGAATGTGGGAACTATCTTGAGAAGATAGTTGGGCAGCAAATTGCTGTGTTAATCCTGCAGCTGCAAATCTCTATTTAGGCTATACTATAAAACTGTCATTAAAATTGTAAAACCACACTAATGTGGTCTAATGGAAGCTTCAAATGGAATTTTTTTAAATGTAATTAAAGAGACGGTCATGTAACCTTTTTTCTTTAAATATTGCTGGGTGATCAAATGGACTGTTATTGATGTGCAAACAACTCTTTAATAATATTAACTACACACCCACCCCCCCACCACCCTTCCCATCTCAGTTATACACTTGCACTTTTTTTTGCACTTACAGCATCTTTCACCTTTGATGGAGCGTTTCACTCACAAAATACAGTCAAACCATTTTACAGTATATCCTGTGAAGCACTTTGAGATGTCTAGAT